TTTCAAACGTCACTGTTCTGCTACTCAAAATAGTTAAAAAAATTGAGTTACTATCTATGTTTATATCAAGAAAATTCCTTTTTTTTTAATTAATCATATTAAAGTCAACGCAATGATTGATTGATTTAATTTTGGGTTGACTTTAGTAGGATAGGTTTGGTCAAACCATGAAAATTTTATTATAATCTTTGGAAGCCAAAAAATTTAAAAAAAAAAAAAATTAAAAGAAAGTTTTGCTCAAGGTTTACTAACCCATTTACTCAAAATTTTGCTTCTCAAGGATTTATTCAAGTAGGAAAATATTGCGTTATTGCATTCTTTTATTTCAGGTTTTTGATATTGTATTATATTTTTTTTCTTAAGGTTTGATGATTTTTAAAGTTTTTATTAGTGTGTTTAGCAAACAATGACAGAACCGCGGAGGCCCCCCTCGACAAAATCGGATCTACCACTGATCACACCAATTGGGGAATTGTTTACGGATATTCCCCAGTTGGTATGATTTTCATACTAATTCAGAGATTTCACGCTAAACGCTGAAAAATCATGCCAACTCAATTTTTTTTTAGTTTTTCACTTTTGCTAAGTCAAATCTTCTTATATCTTATTATTATCAAGGAATGCTGCACTTACAAAGAAACTTACAAAAATTTCTAAACAAAGTGATGTGGCAAAAAATGAATGAAAAGTGAATCTAATGATTTTGACTTTTTGTTTACTCCTTCATTCATTTTTGTACCTCACTTTGTATGGAAATCTTTACAAGATTTATTTGTAAGTATAGTATTATTGATATTTGTATCACAAGATTGATTACAATGGCACATGTGGTTATTTGGTTGGGTACAAAGGGCAATAGACAACGACGGCGATAATACAATGAGTTGTGTTGGAGGAAAACAAAAAATGCTTAAAATCCATCTTGATGTGACATACGATGGATTGGTTGAGTTGTTAAGGATCGTCCAGGTGTTGACAGTAGAGGAAATACTAACTGAAAGTTTTGAAGGGGATACGAAGTGTTAAAACTTATGTGGAATGAGTGCTTGTTCATATTGTGCATAAGTGTTGTTCAAAGCATAAATGAAACATCCATCAAAGGAAGAAAAGAACACACTCATTTTTACATGGTTCGGCAACATGCCTACATCCATGATACCAAGTCCAGAAGAACCAAATCCACTATGTAAACTTATGAGTTCAAATACAAAGCAAGAAAAGATAGTTGCAAAACACTCTTGTTCTCAACACATCAATCTTCACTTCTTCGGTTGAACTTCAAGCCACCATAGTAAGCTTCACACACAAGATCACAGGTCCTACTTGAGCTTCTTCAAGTTTCAACAGCGAAGAATCAACTTCGGAACAACAGCTTACACACAAGCTCTATCACTATGGAATCAAACATCCAAAGTCATCACACAAGGACAAGTGAAAATGGTAATTTTACGCCTACCAAAGAATATGAGAAACCATAGATGAAAACAAAAACCTCAGAGGATATTCAGTGATGAATCAAAGATATTAGGTTTCTTAAGGAGACAATCAGAAAAGTATGAATATTAAAGAACAAAGTTACTAGGGTTGGGGGACAAAAAAGTTAAAGTAAAACTTTGTATTTTTCTTTTTGCACAAGAAATTGGGACCACAAACAAAGCAATATCCTTTTCTCACACCACGAATAGAAAGAGACAAGTGGAAAGGCACAAAACAAAATATCAACAAGGAATAATATTGTCCAAAAAGCAAAACGGTGTGCGTGATGGGGGACAAAAAATTTAAGTAAAACTTTTGTATTTTTCTTTTTGCACAAAAAAATTAGGACCACAAACAAAAGCAATATTCATTTTCTCACACAAAGAATAGAAAGTAGACAAGTGGAAAGGCACAAAACAAAATATCAACAATGAATATATTGTCAAAAAACAAAGGGTGGGTGCGTGATGTGCGATTGAAGAAAAAATCTATCAGATGCATGTGAGCATACAGACTCTAAAGTGCTCACACTATGAAAGTGATCACCTTTAGAGAGTGTGCCCACATTGGCAGAAAGGAAAAAGATAGTGCAGGACTCAAAACAAGATCATAAGATCAAAAAACACTAACATTAACAATAGTTATGAAACCCAAGGATGTAATCAATAGAATGTCTACGACATCGAGGATGATAATGATGTTGCTTGTTAACTTGCCTTTTGTCAGAACAACGTAAACTCTTTCATTCCTACTATTTCACACAGATAACTAGTGAACCCTAAACCAATGAACCTTCTAATATAGAATTATTGAGCCAGTGTCGTTTCCCCTAAGGGCTAATTATTAAGTTGAACCTCATAAGAAGGTGCAGAGGGGTATGAACCCCTTGGTTTGATGCGAAAGAGGGTAATATTAATGGTAGAGGTTGAGGAATCCGAATGTTATGGATGTACATGGTTAGACTTATTGGAAACTATTGAGGTTAGGTTAGTAGGGAGTAGTGAAAGGTTTGAATTGGAGTTACTTTGAGTGTGGTGATGAAATGCACAAATATTCTGTGGATGAACCAGAAAGTGAAGAGACAATGCACTGTTATTTTAGTGTAGTTGATATCCTACGTCCTCCCCATCCAACACGATTATTTGCATGTGACACTAGAACCATTAATGAAGTTCCACCAATTGATGACACGAAGATTGAGGTAAGCATGACACTAAATCTTAAACCTGAACCTCGTTTTCTTGAGTAACCAACAATACATATCTGATGATGTAATAAGAGTATTATGTGATTGCGAGTCATGAATATTTTTGAAAACAAAGAGGTCCTAAAAGATGTGTTAAAGAGTCACGCTTTGGAGATTGGTTTTCAATTTAAAGTTTTTAAACATAAGGTATAGATGGGCGATTAAATGCACCATGATAAGAGCTTGAAAGTATACATTTATTAGTGATTCAATTGGATTATTTGTGGAAAAAGGTGGTTTAATTGTTGGAATTTGAATTTATTATTTCATAAATACGTTTTACAGGATCACGGGTGTATTTTGAGTATTTTCAGGTTCAAACCGATATTTGAAGGAAAAAGAATGATGGCGATGGAATTCGTGACAAGTAGGAACAAACGGTGCAAGAATCAGAGTTGAAACGAGAAAGTTGTGACTCGTCGAAACTGCAACATAAAATCTGGAAATCCTTTTAGATGAGCATGCTTCGATGTTTTGATCATAACTTGAGCTGGGGAATCGGAAATTAACGATTCTGGTGGCGTTGAAAAGCTTATTCAAAGAGCTACAAAGTTCATGTGATGACTTTACCAAATTCTGAATTTCACGGACTCTGGAAACAGAAAGAACGATCACCATAGCGATCGTTTCTCATCGCCGCAGCGATGGGTCTCGGGCCTGTTTGGGTTATTGCATTTCCTAATCCGAATTTGAGTGGTTAAGGTTTAATTATTTTCCTAAGTAACTGAAAACCCTAGACTATAAATAAGGATTTTTAATTAGTTTTAAAAAAGATTTGGGAGAGGAAGAGACGGCTACCAATTTGGAGATCAGGATCCAGAAAGCTCGTTCACCGATTAGAGAAGTTTATCTTTTCTTAATTGATGTCATTAATGAGAATGATGGGTTTTGGTATTTCATTATGAACTAACTTTCTTGTCTAGGGCTAAGATGTAGCCCGATTTATGAATATGTGTTGACATTGAATGTGTGTTAATTCTTATGTATTTATAATTCTAAGTTTTATTACTGTGCATAATGCTTTCATTCTCAAGGGCCCGAGGGTTGAATGATTTCAAGGGTTAGGTGTGAGATCGAGAGATGAAACCTGATTATCTTAGGTAATAAAAACATAGATTGAGCGAACGTAGAGATAGGTTACGCGATCTGTGAGGCTCGGTAAATTCCATAGAGCTTAATGATCTCTTAGCTTAAATCCAATTTAGAGATATCTTGGGTTGTTGTTAAGGGTTAATTGCTAATTGCTCAAGGAGAGTTAGTGGAATAATAGGGGATTTGGCTTTTAGAATACACTTGATAGGTTAACAACAAATGTCAATGATAGGATTAAATTGGTATGAAATCTATGCCTAGGTTTAGTCATATTGATTTTCACTTCAAAGTTTACAAATCTGCCCTTTATTTAGTACTTAGTTTTAGTTATTTTACTTTTTATTAAATTCATTCTTAAACTTCAGTTTAATCAAATAGCAATAGAATATAATAGTTTGGTACTTGGTAGGTAGTTCTCTAGGATTCGACACTCGTTTACTCGAGTTTTACTACTTGCACGATTTGTACACTTGCGAATAGCCTGTCAGTTTTTGCGCCGTTGCCGGGAACTATTTTATTTTACCAATATCAATACGAAATATTTAGTTGCTAATTTGATTGTTTATTTCTATTTACTGATTAATTGTATTTTTGTTTGTCTTATTGTGGTTTTCAGCTAGAATCTGGAGAGTTTACGCTCTAGAGGTCGTAGTCATCTTAATCCACTTGATTTTGAGATCGAGAGAACCGCAAAACAGTTGAGAAGAGAAAAGAGGCAAGCTGAATCTGAACAAGCAATGGCTAACACATGAGTTGTCAATCCTAATATGCAAATCAAGGAATGAGAATGGGATAATTTGGGAGGAAATGCAATGGGTGGAGTAGCAGTGGTTCCGAGCGATTAAGGACTATTTAGTCCACTATTGATGGTTGTTATTCAGTATCAGGAGACCACCCATCAGCGAACAATTCGAGATTAAGCCAGCAATTATTGGAATGATTCAGCAGTCAATCCAATTCGCTGGGTTACCAAATGATGATCCCAACCTGCATATCGCAAATTTCCTGAGTTGTGCGACACATTCAAGCATAATGGCGTATCCGAGGATGCAATCAGACTAAGGCTTTTCCCATTCTCTCTACGGGATAAAGTGGCTTGGTGATTTCCTTGCCATCTGGGAGCATCACGACATGAATGAGTTGGCTCAAGCGTTCCTCACTAAATTTTCCACCTGCCAAGTCGGCCAAACTGAGGAGTGAGACACCAACTTTTACCAACAAGATTCAGAGTCATTGTATGAAGCATGGAAAGGTTTAAGGATCTTCTACGGAGGTGCCCACATCATGGTATACCATCTGGTCACAAGTGCAAACGTTCTACCAAGGTGTGCTACCAAACATTCAAGCCTGATTGATGCTACAAGTGGGGGAGCATTGAACACCAAAACACCCAGAAGAAGCATACAATCTGATCGAGGTGATGGCGAATAACAACTATATAGGACTCAGAAAGAATTCAGCAAGGAGATCAGCGGGAGCGCACGAAGTTGACAGTTACACCGCATTGGCTGCTCAACTTTCAAACATCCAGAAGCAATTAGGTAATGTGTTAAAAATAAATGCAATTGAATCGTCATCTCTAACATGTGACTTTTGTGGCAGGAAATCATGCGTCAAGCGATTGCCAAGAGGGAAACCAGTTTGCTCAACATGAACAAGCCAACTACGTCAACAATTTCCAAAGAGGGCAAAGGAATCCGTATTCAATACGTATAATCCAGCATGGAGGAAACACCCCAATTTTTCATGGAGCAATAACAATAAGCAAAAACAAGCACTGTTTTTCAACCTCAAGAGCACAAATCAAACTTGGAAAAATGCATTAACCAAGTTCATTAGGAGACAAGCAAGAGGTTTGAGAAGACCGACGTCTAGTTCAAAAAACAATCTGCATCTATAAGGAACCTAAGACTCAAATGGGCAGATTCACAAAATATTGGCGGGAAGAGGTCAAGGGGTTTTAACGAGTGATACGGAGAAAAATCCCAAGGAACAGGCACATGCAATCACCCGAGGGTGGAAAAAATTTGGAAAATTCGCAAGGTGAAAAACAGAGGATAGAACAAAACCTGAAGGATGATCAGAAGAACGATCGCCGCGGCGATGGAGATGATGGCCATGGCGAGCGTGCCAAGGAAGAACTACCCGTCAGAAGAAGGACGATCGCCACGGCGATGAAACTTGTCGCCGCGGCGACCGTGAAAAAATATTCAAATTTCGTCAGGATTATCTACGATCGCCGCGGCGATGAATCTGGTGGCCGCGGCGACCGTACAATGAGCAGAAAACTCCTTTGAGTCAGGCAAACTGCCGTACCCACAACGGTTAAAGAATCAGAAGCTCGACAAGCAATTCGGTAAATTCATTGACATGTTCGTGTTTACAATTAATATTCCTTTGTTGATATGCTTGAACAGATGCCAAAGTATGCGAAATTTTGAAGGAGATCCTCACGCACAAGAGAAAATTCAAGGAACACGAGAAAGTCATGCTGACAGAGGAATGCAGCGCGCTGATTCAAAAGAAACTACCACCTAAAATACGAGATCCAGGGAGTTTCACTATCCCTGTATTATTGGTAGTTGTTATTTTGTAAAGTGCTATGCGATTTAGAGGCTAGTATTAACTTAATGCCGTTTTCCATTACAGGAAACTTGGATGGGGGAAGTAAAGCCACACCGTGTCTCTCCAATTAGTGATAGATCGATCACAATATCCTAGAGGGGGTAGTCGAAGACGTCCTGATTAAGGGAGATAAACTGATATTCCCGTAGATTTCATAGTGCTAGATATGGAGGAAGATAGGGAAATACCTTTAATTTTAGGGAGACCTTTTCTGGCCACGGGTAGAACATTGATAGATGCACCAAGGAAAATTGATCTAAGGGTAGAGGATGAGCAAGTAGAATTTGATGTATTCAAATCTATGAAGCATCCGTCTGAGTTAGATTCATGCTTTAAAAATCGGGGCCCGTTTGGTGAGAGAGGCGCTCATGAAGATCCAGCCAAATATCATTTGCACGTCGCGACGAAGGCAACACTTGATTTGAGAGAGAGAGTGATGGAATTTTGAATCCATGACAATACCATATCGTACAACGATGCCAGAGATCAAGTAAAGAGTCATCGGGAAGACTGGATTGGTTTGGGTTCCATCGTGAAGCCGAGCTTGTTCTTAGCTCGAAGGCACGCTTTATCGCACGGGAACAGGTAGGTAATTTTCAGTGGTAAGCAAATCACCAACGAGAGTGATTGAAGGACTATCACCGTGATCTAATCGGTATGGGCTTGTGGGATCAGCAAGATTGAGTATCGGGAGAGTGGGTTTGTGTGAAGGTTTAAATGGGTTGGAGAACGGGTGGTGTATGCGGTTGAGGTCGTCCATCGTTGTCTCACTGTCTGATACCATGTAAGTAAACTGATAATAAAAGAAAGGAGAAGCGAGAGCAGTAATGGAGGTTCAATGAAGCTTTTGTATATTGCTTACTGTTTGTATGGAAAAAGGAAGAAGGCCGTAGCCTTTATACAAGGGTGCTCTGTAACAACTAACAGAAAGCATAACAAATTCTATAATTACAGCTGTATAAAGAATTAAAGAATAAACTCCTTAAACGACATAAAAGGTAAAACAGAAAAGTAAAATGGCAAGAAGTTTACTACCCTTTTTCATCTAACAAGAAGTACACCAGAAAAGTCTTTTATGCTATTACCCGAGTTCCACTATAACCTGCCACTTCGTAATCTAGGGAAGGTTACTCAAATTGACATTGTTGGCGACAATCGTTTTAAAACTTCTTCATATCATTGGGTTGTTCAATAAGAGCCTTCAAGGATCGCATTCATCCTATTATTTGTGTGGATGATGCCTTTTAAAGGGGAGGTATCTAGGGACATTGTTGTTTGCGTAGCGAAAAACGGTAATAGTTAGATATATTTGTTAGCTTTCAACGTGGGAGAGATAGAGGAAAGTGACTCGGACGTGGCTCATGAACAAAATAAGGGATTGCATAGGTGATGTTGAAAATTAGCAATGATTTCAGATCATTATGCTGTATCATAATCGTAGTGTGAACCGTATTCCTACATGCATATCGTGGATGCTATTGTCATCACCAAAAGATGAACATGAGAGTTAAGTACAGAAAAATAAAGGGTGAAAACGAACAAAGTTTGCATCAATATGCCACTAGGCGTGAAAAAAAATACATTAGGTGAAAATAGACCATTTGATAGGTGTTATTGGGTGGCGGAATTTTTCACTTAAAATACGCGAACAAACAGAAGCTTTACGCTTAGGGGAGAAAATTACGCCAATAGGGCTGTTGGCATGAATTTACACTATTAGCGTAAAAACCACACCAACAAAAAGAGGCAAATTTTGCCCTTTCTCTGTTCCCGTTCAATTGGCGCGATTTTTTATGCAAGAAGAAAAATCACGCCAAGAGTCAAATAGCCTGCAATCCTCCAATCAACAAAAAACACAAACAATACACTTCTATTCACATCAAACACAATAACCGAAACACCTATAACTTCAACAAATAATCACAAAAAATCGAACTCAACCAAACCCAACATTTTACAAAAACACACTAAACCCTAACATTTAGGAAAATACATGACTAATTACACAATATATTGCATAATCTAATCCTCGAGGCTCGGCTGTCAACTTCAAGGTTTTGAAGGATTAGTTAAGGTGCACATAAGCTGACCCAACATCTCTGATCACAAAAAACAAAAAAAAAAAAAAAGAGTTAAACATTGTTACAATTACTAAAATACCCTTTAAATTAATATTGAGAATAAAATGACCCTAACTCCCCCATTAATAAAATCAATATTATGGGAGTATTTTGTAATTGCAATAAATAACTCTTTCATTACGGATGGGTATGTTATTTTTTTAAATGTTGTGTAGGTTATTGTTTTTTAGGTAATTAGTAATTTTATTAAGATTAAAGAATTACAAACAAGGGACAACGCTAAACAAAGCAGAACAGCACCTTTTATCACACCCAAAACACGACTCATGGACGACGAAAAAGAAACGGCAAGAGAAAAAACAGCAGCCACTAACAGGACACCCAAAACAACCTGGAGCAAGGGAGAACAAAACCCAGAAAACGAACAGCAAAGCCACCACACAACCAGCAAAAACAAACACAAACAGCCTAGTCACAAAGCAACCACAAGGCCACAAAAAAATAAAGAAAACCAGCACTCTCCAGCAACAGCCAAACGAACCACCAGGCACACAGACACACAACATCAAACACGACAGGGACTAGCAGCAGCAGACTATACTTGAGGTAGGTTTATGTGATTTTTCTTATTCAAATAATAAAAAAATCCTGAAGTTGCAGGATACAGGTAGATGAAGAACCAGTGGAAAATCAACACCATGGTTCACTTCCGAGTTCCAAATTTATGACATTTTCTCAGGGAAGTCAAAGCTTCTCTAATTAAACATACACATATTTGACAGAAAATATACCCAAAAAAAAAAAAAAAACATATTTGACAGAAAATATACCCAAAAAAAAAAAAAAAGCAAAAACAAAAAACAAAAAACAAAACAAGCAATAATCTTTCACAACATAACCACATGTGCAAAACAAGCTATAATAAAAAAGAAAAAGACAGCCATATTCCGTTGCCGGGAATCGAACCCGGGTCTCCTGGGTGAAAGCCAGATATCCTAACCGCTGGACGACAACGGAATTTTATAAACGGTGTATCTTTAACTTTTTAATAAAATGCTTCCACGCTTGTGTTAAGTAATTTCTTCATGCTATCAAGCTCTTCATGAATTGGACTTTGCGTAAAAACTCTTGAACTCATATCTCAAATTAACTGATTTAACTTAGTACCATCCAACAATTTGAATGTAGCTTTAAGAGACACTAAATGTAGTGCACCTGGTATGATGCTTAAGTGTTTGATTGAAGTGAAATAAAAGTGTTTTGGCTATAGTATTTAAATATTGTGCATGATTTTAGATATCTGGCTTAATCCTTTCCCTTCCCTTTATATGATGCTCCAATTGCTTTAGATTTACAATTTCTCACACATACAATATTATGGGCAAAAGATAATTGTGTAAAAGTTTAATTTTAATTTAAAATCAATCAATTATATTTTGTTACATAATATTGTATGAGATATATTTTATATATATAGTATTACTATTTCTTGAGCTAGTTGTTTTAGTTGAGCTTAGTGGGCAATTTTTGCAGTTTATTAACTTCCAGTATTTGGGTTCAAGTTTGGGCTTCTTGTCTTTGATTT